CTTTTTCCAACAGAAATAAATACAGTCAAAGTGCAAAGTTACAGATAGAATTTTTTGATCATTTTTTCCATGTTCCTGGTATGGCATTTTTTTCTAGAGCATGCTGTATATTAAACAATTGTAAATTACCAGTGAGGGAGTCGAAAACACATCAAATGCGCAGCTGAGAATTTGAAAATTTGCTTCAAGAAGCGAGGAGTTGGCCAAAATTTACTAAAACTTCCTGGAATACAAAAATATTTTATTTAAAATTTAAATTAAATTTAAAATTTAATCAGGGCCGTACGTAAGGGGGGGATTAGGGGGTTCAAACCCCCCGAAATGCTGAGCTCTTTGTTATATAGTGTTATAAGTGTTAAAAATTTAGTTCTTTTGTTATTTCAGTGGGTTAATTTTAAATTTTTGTGAATTAATTTTTCATGTGTTAATTATACAGTGTTTCATTTTTATTGTTAGATAAAATATTTAATTTTAAGACAAAAGTGCTTCGAAAAATGCTATGAAAGGGAGCTATACCTTCTAAAATAGGTACGTTTTTTAAGGTTTTTTTTCTAATATTTCAGATTAGATAAAATTACAAAATTTGGTACCTTTATATGTACACCTAAACAAATGCCAAATAACAAAATTTTTAATCAAATCCTAATCGGTAAAACAAATTTAATTTTTAATTTTTATGCTGTAACATAAATTTTGAAACCGATTTTTATTAAAAATCCGTAAATTGTATCGGAAAAACACAAAATACCTTAATTTTGTTGCTGAAAGTGGCAAGAAACTACAGGCAATATAGTTAGAGTAAATTTTTACCTTAATCCCATCTAGTTTAGGAAGCCCCTAAATAAAAATTTCAACATATAATTTTTGTACTTGTTTAGGTGTATAAAATTTATCATCTGTACCAAACTGTAATTTTTTTTCTAAAATGATTTCGGAAATATCGAAAAAAAAACCTATTAAAAGACGCACCCCTTGCGTAGCATTTTTCGATATATGTTCATAGAAAATTTTTGTTTTAAAAATGAATATTCTATCTCCTGTTTAAATTTGTAACAATAAAAAGTATTAAAAAATTATTTTATTTTTTGTTACTTTTGTGAGTTAATTTGTATTTTTTTATGTTTAATTAGGATCTCTTATTTCAATTTAAAATAAAAACGTGTACTTAGAGATTCTTGCTTTTTAATCCGCCTTCTTTCATTTCATTTTCATGGACCAACAAGAAACCCCCCCTGAAATAAAATCCTGGTTACGGCCCTGAATTTAATCGTAATTGCTTGGAATTATTTGTCTGGAATTACTGGATTTTTCCCAGAATTTTCGGAGATAATTTCTTTTGAAAATTGCACTGAACTGAATATTTTGAAATTACAGGAATTAATCTGAAAATTGAATAGTAATAAAATTAGTGAAATTGAATTTCGCTGAAATTTTTGTGAATAGGAATTGATTTAATTTGAAAGCAATGGAATTACCATGGATTAATTGAATTACCGGAATTACTTGTAAATTTCAAAATTACTTTGAATACCCTAGAAGCATGGTAATTAATTTGGAATTACAGAAATTATTTTGATATTACTAAAATTAAATTAGGATTACGGAAATTATGTTGGATTTAATTTAGAATTATAGGAATTAATCCGAAAACAATGGAATTACGATGAATCTATTATTAATCAATAGAATTACTAAAAAAATTCAATAGATTTTTTTTAATACTTTCCGGAATTATGTGTAAACCGCTGGATTTTTTTGAAATTAATCTAAAAACAATGGAATCACAACGAATTAATACAGTTATTGGAATTACCAGAGTTATTTGTTAGAAATTACTAAAATTTTTCTAGAATTACTAGATTTGTTTGGAATTATTGGGGATAATTTATTCTTTTAAAAATTACGTTAAATTTCTTAAAACTATCAGAAATAAATTGGAATTACAAGAATTAATTTGAAATTGTAGGAATTCATCTAGTAATAAAATTAGTGAAATTGAATTTCGGTGGAATTTTCCTGAATTTGGAACTACAGGAATTAATTTAGAATTATAGGAATTGAATTAATCTGAAAACGATGGATTAATAGAATTACTGGAATTGAATAGCTGGAATTACTTGTAAATTACAAAATTACATTGAATATCTTAGAAGTAATTTGAAATTACACAAATTATTTTGATATTACGAAAATTAAGTTATGGAAATTAAGTTGGAATTAATTTAGAATTATAGGAATTAATCCGAAAACAATGGAATTAAAAGTAGAATTTTTTTAAATTAGTTATCAGAATTATTTGTAAATTACTGAAATTTTTTTGAAACTATCAGTTAGAATTACTGGAATTATTAAGAGAGAATTAAGTTGTAATTACAGAAATTAATTTAAATTTATTATAAATCTAATTTAATTTAAAATTAATCTAAAAACAATGGAATTACATTTTTGTCTTTAGGAATTACTGAAAACGCTCAAAAAAGACAAAACTTACGCAATTTTCGATCAAATCCTTTTGATATTCTTGCTGATTTGCGATAAATTTTTGCGAAATAATTGTGTTTCTGACTGCACAAACTAAAACTTTCAGAAAAGGCTTAAATAATTTTAGAATATTGCGAAATAAATGCGTTTCTAGTTGAAAAATTAACTCAAATTCTCAAAAAAAAAACGAAAAATTTCGTAAATAGACGAATAGGCGAATAAGTTGTAAAATAAAATTTCTAAACAAATTCTGCCTTGTTTTTTAAGAAATATCCTGGTCTAGAAGTAACATTTTATATCCCACTAAGTTCCTTCTTAATTTTTTTTATTTTCTCGGAACCTTGGTGTTTGTGTAATAATTTTTTCGTCAAAAAAACTTTGTTTTAAAAAAAACATAAAAAAAATTAATATCATTTGAAACAAATTAACAACATCTGGTAAATGAGACATATTTTTTGTGACCTAAAGCCTCCTCACTTATCCTTGAAACATTTCATTTCATTATTTATTTGTTCACCAGTTCTCCAGTGTAAGATCATGTATTTTACAATTCTTGTAAGTTATTTTTTTATCACAAGTTGTGCCCAAGACGAAACTTTGAAAAACACAATAAAAACATTGTCAGGTATTGGATTTTTCCCATTAGTCTTGGTTAAAGTTGAGTTTTCAGACAATTTAGGCAAAATTGAGAAACAAACCCTTTCAACGGCTATTTCCTTGGCTAAAATTGACACTAAGATCAATAATTTACAAGAGAGAGCCCACATTTGGGACACTTTTCAGTTGCATGTTTCAGCCTGGAACGAGCAATTGGCCATTTTGGACCGCAAAATTGACATTTTAAACAAGTAAGTTTAGTTTTCTACAAGAAAAAGTTACTTTTCCTACGACCCTGACAGAAAGTAAGCTTTTCCACCCTAATTTTACCTGCCTCATGCTGGATCGTAGGAAAAATTATATCTGTTACACTGGAGGAAAGTGTATTTTCCTCCCTTGTAATATAAAACTGTTTTTTTGAAGAGGTCAAGAAAAATTGATGGCTTTTGAGTCAAAACTGAGCGCTTTGTCAAACATTGAGTACAAAATTGAGGAAACTCTGTCGGTTTTGAAAGGAAAAAATAGATTTGATTTGGGAGAACTTGAAAAAATGCTTTCGCAACAAAAAGTTCTAATCAAAATTAAAGGCGAAAAAAAGCCAAAGTTAATAATAAAATGGAAAACTCCCCGATTGGTTGAAGAGTTCTTAAGGGATATTTCGTCCAAAGTGGACATAATTTTTGACAAAATTAGTGACGATGAAGATTATTACAGTGCTAAATCTGGAAAAACACGTAGAGAAGTGTCTGAAAATCAAAATATTCAGGAAAAATTGCTGGAAATTGAGAATATTTCTTTGACAATTTTAAGACATGTGGAAACACACTGCAACCCGGAAAAATCCGGTTGTGACGATTTAAACAACAACCACCCTAGCGGTGTTTACATTTTCGGAAATTTGGGCAAAATTACAAAAAGATTTTGCGAGATTCGTGAAAATGTCTGGACTGTGATTCAACGCCGTGACAATTTTTCTTCACTTCAAAACTTCAATTTGAGTTGGAGTGACTACAAGTACGGTTTTGGGGACCCCACGAGAGACTTTTGGCTCGGTAATGATTTCATAAGCAAACTATCGAACGAAAAATCTTTAATCTTAAGAATCGAGTTGGAGGATTTTGATGGTGGTCAAGTTTGGGCCGAATATTCCAGATTTTTGGTCCTCCCAGAGGAAAAAAACTACCAAGTGGTGATAGGAAAATACAGGGGAAACGCTTCCGATTCATTTTCAAGCCACAATGGTTCGTTTTTTAGCACTTTTGATAGAAAAAACGACCAAGCGCCTGATTGTTGCCCTTGTGCTGTTTCCTACGGGGGTGGTTGGTGGTTCAACAGGTGAATCAATTCCAACACTTTTGTGTGAGTTTCATTTGCGGTTTTAGCTGTTTTGAGTCGAATTTGAACGGGTTATACCACAGAAAAGGAGTGGAAAATGGTTATTTTAGTGGCATTATTTGGGAAAAGTGGTTGGGTGATTACTCCTTGAAGAGGAGTTTAATGATGGTAAAACCTGTCACTTCATTGCCCTAATCAATGTTTTTAACTTAATAAACAATTAAATACTAACGCTTGTTTTTTTTTAAATTCAAATTTAGCGCGTCTTGTCTAGTTATTTTAATATTTTGAAACCAAAATAGTGGTTTAATTTAGGAACTAGTTGGGTGGTTTTTCTAAGAAAAAAGTTTAATTTTGGTAAAACTGATCATTTCATTGTCTTGGTCACTTTCGTTCCAAGTTAAAACTTAATAAACAATAAAATGATGTTTTTTGTTTAAATTGAGCGCGTCGTGTTTGGTTATTTTCGCGTCATTGTGTTGGTGCTTCCGAAATCGATAACTCGATTGTAGTGAGTGCGTCTAATGCCGGTGTTTGTGTGATCGAATTGTAAATAAATTAACATTTTGTTGAAAAAAACGCAAAAAAACTGTTTTTTAGGACTATATAATGGCAAGAGGCGGGATTAGAGGCAGAGGAGGAATGAATCGTGGAATTGGAAGACCCCCATACAAAGTGAAAATGTTTCTACCCCGACACCCTTTCGATTTGGCTCTTTGTGAATCGTCTTTTCCACGTGTAAAACCAGCACCTGATGAAACAGCCTTCACCCAGGCTTTATTAAAACGAAATGTCGATTTATCACCCACGCCGGCGGAACAAACGGCTATTCTCAACCTGGTTACGAAAATACAAACGGTTTTGGATAACCTCGTCGTGGCCCCCGGCGCATTCGACGCTTGTGTAAGTGGAAACGGCCCCAAAGGGGCAAAACCCCCGAAACATAACCCATTTCTCAACCGGGAAGAAAAAAATCCATTGACGTTTCTTTGTTTCCAAACCAACTTGATGCAACTTATTTGATGATCGGCGTCCTTCAATTAGGCCTTTTTTTCGTCAAGTTGGTTAACAAATATCAATTTATGAGATTTTCAAAAAAATTACAAAATGACTTCAATTGGGCTAAAAACACCATTTTTTGTCAACATTTTCTTGATCATCGGCGTCCTTCAATTAGGCGTTATTAAAATTCATTGACGTTTCTTTTTTGTTTCCAAACCAACTTGATGCAACTTTTTTGATGATCGGCGTCCTTCAATTAAGCCTCTTTTTCCTCAAGTTGTTAACAAATATCAATTTAAGTTAACAGATTTTCAAAAAAAACTGACGCTTGTGTAAGTAGAAACGGTCCCAAAGGGGCAGAAGCCCCGAAACATAACCGGGAAGAAAAAAATTCATTGACGTTTCTTTGTTTCCAAACCAACTTGATGCAACTTTTTTGATGATCGGCGTCCTTCAATTAGGCCTCTTTTACGTCAAGTTGGTTAACAAATATCAATTTGAGATTTTCAAAAACAAAAAAAAACAAAACGACCTCAATTGGGCTAAAAACACCATTTTTTATCAAC